ATGTGCAGGGCAGAGAGAGTGGTGATGCTATAAAGAGATGCAAACATCAAAGGGCCAAGAGCAAAGGGTACAAAGGAACATCACAGATGGGGAAACTGTTGGAGAAACAGTGGCATGGAGGAAGTCAATAGGCCAGTTCTGTGTGGGGCTGGTTGCCTCTAAATAGACTCCTGTTTTAACTCTATTTCCTTTTCTTCTCCATGATCTCTGGCTCCAAAAAACCCTATAGGTAGCGGGAAAGTTTTCTACCCGTGTGTCCTTTCATCTGCCCCTGAAAACATACATGTGAAATTTTCCATTTTAAGCGCTTATCCAAGTTTCTAAGGTACGGGCACGGGGAAAGCAATAAGGAAATTAAACATATTCCGAGACCTTAGTCCGTACCGTGTTCCTCAAACATACCTCACTGACTGTGTCCTGTGGGCCTGGACCTGTGCTGGGTAATGTGGTAGATCTTGTCTCAGATTACAAGGTGAAAAGGATAGAAGGATGAGACAATGTCAAATTCTCTTTGCGTTTCTTCCTGCTCGTCTTTCCTCTCCTCCTCACTCTCAGCCCCTGAGCCCCTGCCATTGGAATTCGTCTTGTTTACCGTTAAACATATACAACCTTATATATATACTTGAGACTCCTGGGTCAGGGATGTTCTCAGTGTACAGTCTCACGTTAGGTAGTTATACACATGCTGTACCTCCAGTAAGTTCCATGATGAGCTTGCTGGATTTCCTCTTCTTATTGGGGGCCGGGGTTCCTGAGAGCGGCATTGTGGAGATGGTTCAGCCTAGATGGGGTAAAGGGGAGTTGAGGATGGACAGAGACTGGATAGAGTATATGCATTAGGGCAGTTTTACTTATTATAATTATCATCGTTATTATTATTATTATTTTGTCTTTTTCCTTTTTATCGGTACCGGGGATCAAACTCACAACTGCCTGCTTGCAAGGCAGGCACTTATGCCACTGAGCTAAATCCCCAGCCCCATCATCATTATTATTGAGACAGGATCTTGTTATGTATTCCAGGCTAGGCTTGAATTTACTATCTACCCTAGTCTGGCTTTGAACTCAGGCTGTCCTACTGCCTCAGCTTCTCAAGTGCTGGAGGTACAGTCATGCACTATCATGCCCAGTTTTTTGTTTAGTTTTGAAATAAGGACTGGCTACGTCAGGCTGGCCTTGGACTCGAGATATAGCCCAGTCTGGCCTCAAATTTATTTATTTATTTATTTATGGTACCGGGGATCGAATGGCCGCAAATTTATACAGTGATCCTCTTTCCTGGGATTCCACACCCACCTGCAATAGGACAGTACTTCTTCACATGGGGTAAAGGGCTTCAGAAGATACAATATCAGATTTTCAAAGAAATATGTATTCTCCCAGAAGGTGAAAAGCCTACTGCTTTAGGGCTTCTGTTTTGTTGAGACACAAAGCAAGAAAAATAGCTGTACCCCCTGTTCCTACCTTCTACCAACCTCTGAGGGCAGCTTTACACAGATCCTGTGCAGGGATTAGGACCACAGTTAGGGGTAAAAACAATGTTGCAAGCCGGACAATGCATCCTGATTTCATGGGTTTGCAGGATTTGAAGTTTTTATGTGTACTAGGATATTAGACTGGGGCTATGAGGCTCTGGTCCCACCACAATCTGCCCTCACGGCCCATGAAGGTAGAGAAATGTTCTTCCAGGGTTGAGAAACTCTGCCAAAAACATTCTCTATAGGAATGAGAGGTTGTTGCTCCTCCATTAGTCCATCTGGAAGGTGGCCTGGGAGGTCACAGCCTTGCTCCCTGCTCCTTCAGTCGCTTCCAACCCAGATCCCAGAGCTGGAGTAAAGAGGGGATCCAGGAGGTATTCGAACCCCAACTCAGGTCAGTTCAGCAATATCATAGCTATAAGGGATTAAATGAGGGTGGGAATATAGTAATAAGATCTGACTGTGGATGGGGGACAAGCAGGAGGAAAGATACAGATTCCAGCCCCTCCTTAACAGAAGTTGGCACATAGACAGTTGTCTTTGCTGAGTCCTGTCTCACAAACGCATCTGCAATGCTACTCTGGTCTCAGAGCCCCCTTCCCATCTGTCAGGTGCCTCTCCCAACATCTCCATTCCCTCAACTCCCTGAGCCTCTCCTTCCAATCTGTGACTCCCCAAACTGGACAGCAGAGAGCTGAGTATAGGTTAGGAGGGGGGTCTACTCCCCCAGGATCAAGAATTATAGTTGCAGACACAGTCACCAGCATGGACTCTGGCCCCTTGAGCCATTGTGCTGCACACTTACCGGCTGCTCAGTCGGTGGTCAGCTCTCCCTGGGGTCCAGCAGCTTTGGAGGACTTAGCTGCTGTGACCGGAGAACCTGAGCTGGGCAGGCGTGGGGGCAGCACTGGCAGTGGGGGAGGGAGTGTGGTTATTAATAGAGATGATGAGCACAAACAGCTCAAATGGCAAAGGGGGTACTGAGACCCTGGAACCAAGACCCCGCCCTCCTCGCCCAGAGGCTCAGAAAGGGGAGAAAGACCTTTAGGATTCTCCTGAGCTATCTGAGCCAGGGATCAGTCTGTCCCAGGGATCCCCTTCCCTGTGCACCTACAATCTGAGATCCATTCAAAGAGAAATTGAAGACCCAGGGAGAAAGAAAACAGGCAGCAAGTGGTGTAGGAATTCAGAGTGGGAGAGAGAAGCCAGAGAACATGACCTGAGGACCACTCATAGCCAATCCAGGCAGGAGCTGGGAGGACTGATGGGTGTATTTGGGGGTGGGAGGGATTAAAGCTTTCCGTTTGAGGACAGGACAGAAGTCTTCACTATGAAGCTGCTCTTTTAAAGTTCCTTATGCATTGGACTCTCGGAAGGACAGATCTTGGCAGAACAAAGCACAAAGTAACTGAACCTAATGAAATGAGAGATGCTGTCGGGGAAGACTTGACCAATTACTCGACCGCCCTTTTCTTTCCTGGTCAACTGTGGCAGTTCTAAGAATAACAGTAAATGTTTACATCTGTCTTTTAGTCCCCTTTGTTGCCTGTGTGCTCAGTGAAGCCTGCTTCATAGGATAGATGTTGCCATCTCCCTCAGAAGCTCACTTTGGCTTCTGACCCACGAGGGCCTTGTTTTCCAGGGTTTCTAGTTGGAATTCCCCTTCAGCAGGAGCACACACCCCACAGAATCTGCATTATCCCATTTATGTTGTTCTAAAGAAGATTCTGGAAGCCAGCCATTGTGGCACACTTCTGTAATCCAAACACTAAGGAGGCTGAGGCAGGAGGATCACTGCAAGCTCGAGGCCAGGCTGGGCTACCTACCAAGTTGAAGGCGAGCCTAAACTACATAATAAGACACTATCAAAAAACAAAAAAACTTTATAAGGACTTATAAGATAAATGAATCTGATGAAAAAAATGAAAAGGAGCCCCCTCCCAAAGAGCACAAGCTTGAGAGCCCCCTTGAAGGAAGCTTCTTACTTGCTCAGTAGCTACAGAAACATCATGCTTCCTCCTGCACCTTAGGTGCAAGTTGTGGAACCAGCTTCTGCTGTACCTCCGTTTCAGCCTTCACCACCTTGCTGCAGCTGCCTCCAAAGTGGCTCCTAAAACTTAACGAATACACGTGAGCTCCCCACTCTTCCTGGCCATACTCTTCTTCCATCTTGGACTTTTCAGGCTCTGGCAAGAGGTTGAAAATCCACCACCACCACAGTTCCAAACAAAACAGAAACAAAAAGCTCAAAGCATGATTTTCTACTACCCAGTAATTACTGAGTAAGTGATGACAGGCTATTTTAGCCCGCAGTCCCTTCCTTTGGAATTCTGATACTGTTAACTTGGGAACATCTGGTTATTGGCACAAATCTGCCCTCTGCTGGCAAAATGGAAGCAATTGCATATCCTCAAATCTAACCCTACCTTAATTTTCCAAGTATCTACCTCCTTTTTATTTCCTCTTGGAATCTGGCAGGCCTAAGAACATGTGAATGTTTAGAATTCTTTTTCTGCTGCCTGGATACAGACACAAGTGACAAGTTCTCTGTTAGTTTCAATCCATCTTTCTTTTTCCACTGTTTTTTCCCCCCTTTTCTTTCTTTTTTCCTTCTTTCCTTCCTTTATTTTTTGAGTTCAGTAAGAAAGAGTCTCAGGCCAGGAATTTAGGTCAGTGGCATAAGCACCTGCCTGACAAGCCTAAGGTCATAGGTTCGATCCCCGGTTTAAAAAAAAAAAAAAAAAAAAAAAGGCTCATTATGTAATGTAGGCCAAACTTGAACTTGCTGTGTAGCCCAGGATGGCCTCCAATTTCAGATCTTCCTACCTCAGTCTCCCAAGTGCTGTGATTACAGATATGTGCCACCATGCCTGGCTTCCACTTTTTTTTTTTTTTTTTTTTTTGGTCTTTTTCGTTTTTATCGGTACCAGGGATCGAACTCACAACTGCCTGTTTGCAAGGCAGGTGCTTATGGCGCTGAGCTAAATCCCCAGCCCCCTGGCTTCCACTTTTTGTTCCTTCTCTCATTCTACCTTCACCACCAGTCATTGCTTTCTTTCTTTCTTTCTTTGGGGGGTGGATACCAGGAATTGAACTCAGGACCTCAAGCTTGCCAGGGAGGCACTGTGCCACTGAGGTAAATCCCCAGCCCAGGTCATTGCTTTCTATTCATTTAATTCTCAGAGAATGTTTAACATGGTTGCTTTCTCCAGGGAGGAAGGAAGTGTTGATGGTAAAAGAATTAGAATACTTTCCCCTGGGAAGTATGGAGCAGTGAAGGGCGAGGGGGAGAATCTGGATGGAGACTGCAGGGAGGCAAAACTAGGAGCAGTGGTGGGGATCGCTAAATGGAAGCAGAATGGAATTGGTAGAAACAGCACAATAGTTCAGAATGAAGGGCAAGGGGTGGGAAACGGGAGTGTGGGATAGAGACTGAGATCAGGAATCCGATGAGGGTAATGAGTTAGAGACGATCAAAGAAGATCAGGATTAGGTATAAAATCAGGAGATATGACAGCCATGGAAGGTAAGTGACATAAGTTTATTCTTGTGCACAAATCAAAGAGCTGTGACTCACACCCAAAATGCAAAGGAAATGATCACTTTCAGATCAAACAGCAAACGTAGCTGGCGATGGTCTTGGTAAAAAGGGAGTCCATGCTCTTCTAGAATCCAAAATGAGGACCTGAAGCTGAAAAGGAGTAAGAGCTGCGCGTTTGAGGGATGGGGTAGGACTGGAAAGCTGTGGTGCTTCCCTGCCCTTCCCAGGTAGCCAGGACAAGGCACAGAAGACAAACAAGGACGGCTCACAGGAAGTAGCAGACACCAGCTCCTCTCAGCTCTCAGCACACCCTCGCAGGCCCCTCCTGCCACCATCCCCCTTAACTGGCAAGTGCATTCATGTCCCTGGTATTTTTTCCCAATCTCCATCTCACTCAGTTGGTTGCCAGCCAGCTCCACTCTGCCAACACTGCCCTCTCCCTCACTATAATCTATCACTTTCACCCATTTTTGTTCCACTCTTGCTTTCTGTCTCACTCACCTTACCCCAGCTTTTGTTTTGCTTTTTGGTGGTACCGGAGATCAAACTCACTAGGCAGGCACTTAGGCCACTGAGCTAAATTCCTGTTCCCCTCACTCCAGCTTTCTTCCCCCTTCTGTTTCAGGCTTATAAAACAATGAAACCAATAATTTATTCATACCCACAGGAAATTTTTTTTCTTTTTCTGTTCTTTTTTTTTTTTTTTTTTTGTTCTAACATCTTTGAGATTGGGTTGCTCAGTACAGAATTCTATTTGCTAACTTTCTGAAGTCCAGAAGATTCTTAGTTCTGTTGCTGATATAGCTGATATCACTCAGTCCATAAAACTATCCCAATCCTTCAGTCTTGTCATGCATCGTTTGTTCCCAAGATTCTGTGTATTTGTAGACACTGCTCTCTAGCATTGCTCCCCAGGGAAGCCCTTTCTCCCACTAGTCTCCATGTGGGGACATCTGACTCTTCTACCAATGTGAAGCTGAGACCCAGATGGGGTCTTTATTTATACTTCTATTATTCTTGCCTCAGACAGAGGAGCACATCTTCCCAGATCAGATCCTGATCACACACATTTGCTCACACTTGCACGCACGCACACCCCAGGCATACATACTCTAGATATATGCCAGCTAACCCTGGGAAAGCAGAGTGAAGAGTAGGGAGAGGGTTAGTGCAAACAAGGATCAGTTCAGTCTCTTTGCTGTCTTCCTGCTGGTGAGCTTCTAGCCTAGGTTTCCAGTAGTTACTTCTACTCTGTGTGCTTCTCACTGAACATTAAAAGAAGGCCCACAGAGAAGAGAACAAGGGTAAAGAGACTCATAGAAGCGTACGGATAGAGGCCAGGAAATGTACACAGATCCAGGCAAGCAAACATAAAGAGAAGCAAAGACACCAAAGTAGGGATAATAGGTTGGAAAGCAGCAGGGAGATAGGGAGTGAGCAGGAAGCTGGGAGGAGACACTAACTTCAAACCTATCTCTGGCAGGAGGGACTTTAGCCTCCAGATTCCTGGGAGAGGGTAGGATAGGGCAGGAGAAGCAGCTTTTAAGTCTGGATGTTCCACTCCTCCTTGGTCTTGGGACCCATGCCCTGCTCAGCGGTGCCCTGCCCCAGGCCTCCACACATGAGCCTGCAATCCTGTTCTGGTGGCTGAGAATCGGGGCCTGGCTACCTGGAAACCACAGGAATTGGGGGTGGCCCCAAAGCCTCTGGGAGACTCTTGAGGAGGGGCTGGGCTCGAGACAGGGGCCGAGGCCAGCTCTGCCCTCCAGATGGGTTCATCCAGTGAGGTGGCTGCTCGGGGGGCAAGCACTGTAGGAGCCAGGGGCTCTGTGGTGGGTTGGGGCGCCGGGGTGGAAAATCTGCGGATCTCCTGGACTCGGGCAGTTTTGGGGGCCCCGGAGGAGGTGGGGCCAGGAGTTGGAGGAACCTCGTCAAAACAGAACATGGCAGTTTTAAGTTGGTAGGGTTGATGCCGCATGAAATCCAGAGCTTTGATGCCCTGCTTGGAGGCTGCCCGAGGCCCCTGGGATTGGGCCTTCGCAGGGAGAGTTCGGGCAGCCTGGGGGAAAAAGGGTGACAGTAGTGGGTTGTAAGCAATTGGAGGTGGGGCACGGATGTTGGGCGAATATTTCCACGAAGAGGGCAGTGAGGGGGTAGGAGAAGGACTTCTGGGCCGAGGGCCAAGACCTGGTGTCGTTTCCACCACATACCTGTCGGCCCGGCTCTGCCGCTTGGCGAACAGCTCCCCGCCCCTGCCCTGCAGCCTTGGAGGCTCAGGGATTCCAGGTGTGGGGGTCGCCCCATTCACTAGCCCATCAAGGAGCCCTCGAGATGCGGGCTTAGGAGCCACTGGGGGTGGAGTCTTAGGAGTCAGAGGGGGCGGGGTCTTGGGAGCCGTTGGGGGCGGGGTTTGAGGTGTCACGTGAGGCAGCGTTTTGTAACTCTTGCCCCCTGGTGGCTGCATGAAATTGCAGGCTTCAGCTCCGAGGCTCAGAGCATCCTCCTCCAGACCAGGTTCAGCAACCCCGGGTCGGGGTTTTTCGTCCAGGTTCTGCACCAGCGACAGCAGTTCGGGGTTGGGCGAGTTCTTCGGCTCCTCTTTCCCCTGGCGGAACATCTGCTTCCTGGTCCCGCGGCGCCGGGCCTCCTGTAGGATGCCAGTGCGCGCAGCCGGCACGGAGATGCGCTGCTCGCGAGCGCTGGGGGTGTCGGGGGCCGCTGGGCCTGGCGCGGGCGCCTCCGGGCGCGCAGAGGGTCGCAGAGGCGACGAGAGAAAGATAGAGGCGGTGGAGGTCATGGCAGCTGCACTAGGAGGAGCGGAGGGCTCTGGGGCTGCGCCAGGTGTCACGGGTCTACTAGGGGCTGGGATGTACAGGGAACTGGTGGCCGTTACAGGACCCGAGGACCGTGGGGTGCTAGGGGAGCCAGGCGAGGGCCCGTGGCTAGAAACCCCTGTGGTGAGGCTCTGCAGAGGCGTGGGCTCCTGCGGAGAGGGCATGAAGGGGGATGGGGCGGACACGAAAGGGGCTGGGACGGGCCCGAAGCTCCCCAAGCTCTCGTTCGCCCTCTTGGGAGCGAGAGGTCTGAAAATCACCGAGGTGGTGGTACTTGGCCGCTGCCCTTGTAAGCCCGGGGTAAAGGGCCTAGCTGACCTGTTGAAGATGCTCGGAGCAGGGGAAGGAGCTCCGCCACCTGGAAGGAAGGGTCTGGGACTGGTTACTGGGGCTGGCAAAGGGCTGGGTGGGAGTACAGCCGTCTCTGGAGGAGCACTTTGGGCCCGGGGCGGTGACTGCACACCTTCACCATTGAGCACGGCTGCCTGGCTCAGCGGAACCGACTCCAGGGTACTGGAGACTGCGCGCTGGCGCTGCTTTTCAAAGAGTTGAACCCCTTTCCCGGAGACCTCGCTCAGCTGCCCACCCTGGCCTTCAGCTGTGCCTGAGCCCACCCTTGCCAGTTCCATGTCCAGATAGGGGCTGTCCCAGTCAGACTGATTGGTGAGGCTGCGCGCGTCGGAGAAGGCCTCTTCGTCCAGCTCGGATTCACTTGTTGGGGGAACACCGTCCTCCTCCTCCGTGCCTGTCCCGGCTGCAGCGCCAAAGCTCACTAGAGTGTACTTCTTAGCTCTCTGCCTCCGTTTCTTAAACATAAGCACCCCCTTGGAGTGGGGGTTGGGGGCTGCAGTTAGCAGGGATGCAATAGTCCTGCATTTGGTCTTTGCTTCCTTCACACTCTTCTCTTGGAGGCTCTCTGTCCGTTGCAGTTCTGAGGAGGCCAAAAAGTGCACGATCAGTGAGGTTTTGTAACCTCTTCTAAAAGCTTCTGGTCACGAAGCTTTCATTTCCACCCAGGCCAACCCCACCCCGTCATTCCACGACGTTGCGTGCCCCCCTCCCTTGTGGGACGTCTTGCATGTGAAATGACTGATTTAAGGGCTGCTGCAGGGTGAAAGGTGAGACCAAGGTCACTTAAAGGGAAGGCGGAGGCCACTTGGCTGCCCAGATAATTCCGCCCTCCCTTCCCGCCATTCTGTTCCTATCTTCCCAGAGCCATTGCCTTATCTGCGCCCCCAACCCCCAGCGTTCCTTACCCACTTCCCACACCTAACTGGCTGCAGAAGGGAGGTGTGACTGGCAGGCAAGGAAATCAGAGAAAATGTCCCAGGAAGAAAAAAGAAGAGAAAGGACCCTCATCCACCACGGAAACCCTGTTAGGCTTTTCACAAGCTTTGAGATTCATCCATTCTTCCAGCTTGTTACCCCTATTACCATGACACACAGGGTTCTTAACAATGAAGATCCTCATTTACAATTTCACCCTGTCATGTGGTCCACACCAGAAACGCTCATAGCAGTATGTTCTATCACATGCCATTTCAATGGGAATATCTGCCTGCTACTGAAAGCTAACGGTGGGCATACTTTCTCCAATGTACTTTTCTTTCTCATTAATGTATATCCCATTTGGGCCTGGTGACATACATTAATCCTAGTACTTGGAAGGCTGAGGCCAATCTGGTTACTTAAGTTCAAAGCCAGCCCACACTCCAAAGCAAGACCCTGTCTCAAACAAACAGTGTATATCTCACCTGGGCACTGTGGCACATGCCTATAATTCTAGCATGAGTTCAAGACCACCCTGGACTACATAACAAGATCTTATCTCAAAAAACAAAAACAACAACAAAAAAAAAAACCAAAACCAAAAACTAATGAGTTACTATCTCAACTTACACTTTAGTTCACATACACAGACTTAAATATATGTATGCATACATGAAAACATGGAGTCATTTGCATGTATACACATAATTGCTCCAGGATGGCTTTTTCCCCCAAAGTTCCCTCACAGGGACTATCAGTTTGGCCAGAATCTTAGCTCTTGATAACTCCAACTGCCAGGGCACCCATCTGTGCTTCATTCCCTGTTACTCACAGCTGGAGTTAGTCTCAGATCCAAGATGTGGGAAAAGTCAGAGTACTGCTCTCCAAGGCCACTCTGTGAATCTTCAGGATACCTCAAGCCAGGTAAATGTAGTCTCCTTTGTCCCAGATGAGGATAATGTTGTCTCACCGGGGGTCAGTGCTGCCCACACTGTTTGCCAGGCCTTTTGGGTAGAGCTCAGACATCCACCACCAGATAGGCATGGAGGACTATGTGCTGAAGAGAACCAAGGCAGGACTTCCCATGCCATGTAGGGCCGAGGAGGTGGGGCAGGAAATGGGGGAGGCTGCGTGCTGCTAAGACCCCGCCTTACACATGGATCTGTAATCCATAGTCCCCAGTTCCTTCGGAAAAATTCCTGAAATTCCATCTACTTTCCACTTGAGATACCAAGCTCCTTTCTATTTAGGGCTTTCATTCCTCTCATCCTGACTCTCTTAACATAGGATAGTACTATAGATGTGAGAATAGACACAGGAATCAGAATTTAGTTCAGGCTTTTGTTCTTGGGAGAATTACTTCACCTCATTGAAGTTCAGTTTCCTCATCTGTAAATGAGGAGGACAATAGTGACCTCAAAGGGTTGCTATGAGGATTAAATGAGCTAATATAAGTAAATTTAGCACTTAACGCAGCACTTAGGTCCACTATTACTCTTAACAACTATTACTCTCAAAACTTTCTTGAACCTAGCTATACACATATACAGGCAATTCTTATTCACACATATCTCCTCCTGCAGACTTGCACATGCCTGCCTTCCTGTATTCATAATGTACACCCACCTCTCTCTCACACACACTCTTCCTATGAGTTTTCTGCAACTTGTGTGATCATAAACACCTTTGTCACGTGCCCATAGCATCAAGCCATTCTAAGAAAGGGTCAGTGATGCTCTCCTGAGGAAAGGAAGAAGAGGATAGCAAAAAGAAAAGGACAGTATACAAGCTGTTTTCTTGAGTTAAAAAATAAAAAAAAGAAAAAGAAAAGGACTAGAATATAACCTTCCCCCAAGTCCTCTCTTCCTCAATTTTGTGGTATCACCCTTCATTCTAAAGCTTTTCATTCTACACCCCAAAACTCTCTTGAATGTGGGAAGGTAGTACCTGCATAGAATGGGTCTTGTAGTTCAAAATCTGGATCTGAGGCTTTGTCACAGCTGGCTTGGCTGAGAGGCTCTTGGCTGATGGGCTCAAAAGCCTCCATGCTGAGGAAGGCAGTGTTGGCTGGAGCAGGACCAGCTTGAAAAACCCCCCATGCCTTTTAAAGCCCCTTTGTCTTGTCTCCAGAGCTGGCAGCTGAATGAGCTCACTGGGCTATTTTTGGAGCCTGGCCCCTTCTCTTCTCTTGGTTGCCCCACAAGTCCTGGTATGATGGACGTGGGCACCTGCCTCCCCTTCCCCCCACTCTGCTTCACTGGACAATGAGGTCCACTTTAGCTAAAAATACTCATGAGCCACTAACCACAATCTCACCCCTCCTAATGGAAGGGAGAAGAGGAGATACGAAGTGATAAGTATGGGATCTTCAGTATGTATCTGGAATTTCTTTGTGGGATGTTAGACATGTCCAGAGATGTCAGACTCTAAACTGTCAAGTCCTTAACTTCTGTTCAAATGTAAAGATACAAAATTGTACGGATTGTCAGAATGATGGAAAGGAGTAGAGAAAGACGAATACTAGAGGGAAAATCCTGTGATTTCAAAGGTGACATAAGGGTCTTTGTGTGCAGGTCTTGGAAGAAACAGGACAGGCAAACACTTCATTCTTAGATCTGGTTCCATAACTGGCATCAAAAATAGCAAAGAGCTTGAGATAAGTAGAACTGGCTTTTTCTGTCCAGGTCCACATTCTTGAATGAGATAAGGAGCCAAAGATCCCTCCCTCTGCCACTTCCTAGGGATCTCATGACCGTCCCATAGTTTTCCAGTCCACAGGAATCCCAACCAAGCTTATACATACTTGTAAGCTTTGAAGTAAGTTTGTAAGTTCAGGTAATAGCTTTAAAATCGTGCCTTCATTTAACACTGTAAACGCCCCTAAACTCTTATCCTGTTTCCAAATAAATACTCCCATGTCCTGGGTCTGTCCTCTGCCCTCACCTCATTCTGTCATCTAACAAAACAACAGCAACCACTACCAAACTCTTCATCTGTTCAGGTCCTTTTCCGCCTTCCCTACTTACTGTGTTCTTGGGTTGAATTGAAGCCCTTGTACATTTTTGCTATACTGGTTCAAATAGCAAAACTAATGGAGACTATGAAAAGAATTATTTTCTCTTCCATTTATATCTGTTCTCTACTTGTCCCAAAGACTGTTTTTAAGAGGCATGAAGTAGGTAAAAATTATAGATAAGAAAGCATAGATTGGCTAGGAAACAACAAAACAAAACAAAAAAGCATTTAGGACTCACTGGCTTGCTTGGCCTTCTGGGCGTAGGTAGTAGTAAGGTCTTCCGCCACTGGGTGGGGAACAGGTCCCACCATAGGAATAAGATGAGGACCAGGCCGGAGTGGACCATGGGGTAATAGCATTGCCTCGGCTGGGGGTGGCTGAAGGGCTGCCCCTTCCTCCCAAGATGGGGAGCTCACAGGGCTATCAGCCTGGCTGGGAGGGCCAGGGATGGCAGGTGCTGGCTCTGCAGGACTGTCAGACAGGTAGACCTCATCTGGTGGGGCTCCTGGAGGTGTGGGCCTTGTAGGGCCTCGCCGGCGAGGTCGGCGTGGCTTCTCCTGAGTGGTAGAGCCATCAACATCACTGTCGGTCTCTCCATAGTAAGCCTCACTGTCAGGGGGTGATCGAAGGCTCCCAGGTTGAAGGGACTGTGGTATCGGAGCACCAGGGGGCTCAGGACTCAGTGGAGATAAAGGTGAGAGTGCCTGAAACTCCCCAGGGGATGGAGATCTCACTGGCCCTTCATCTGCAATCCTGGATGGGAAAGAGGACAAAACTTGAGAGACGGGCTATGTGGCTAATAGCTAGAGCACTCTGGAGGGGATGGGAAGGAGGTAAAGGGGAAAGCAGGGGCAGGCACACGGTTAGAGTTAATCCTCCTCCAATGTGCTTGGAAGGATATAAAGAAGATGAGGAGATAGGCCAGAGGTTTAAGTAGGTCCATTGCTGAAATCACCACATGACACCTCAACCTTTAAGTGCATACATATCAAACCTTTTGGGAGAGATGCACAAACCTCTATACCTCAGCAAAAATACACAAGAAGAAATAGGTACTTGTTAGTTACTGAAGCTAAACCAGTAAGGCCCAGAGCTGAGGCAGGAAAGGCAAGCCCTAGGGTCCTTGGGCTAAGGTAAAAGGAAGGGAAGGTCCATACCTGCGCACAGTAAGGACAAGCTGGGTTCCAGAGGCATCGATGAGGCTCATGGCACTGGCATGAGAGAGGCTGGTACACGAAACCCCATTGATCGCCAAGAGGTGGTCCCTCTCTCGGAGACCTGCTCTGCCAGCCTGGCTCCTTTTTCGGATCTGAGGTGTTGGAGGAGAGATTGTAGGTGGTAGAGGACTCCAGTGGGAATAGAGTGAAAAAGAAAGGACCAGAAGTACCCACGTAGGATGAAAGAGCAGAGGTACCTGGAGCTGCAGCTGAGGGGCCCTGTCTAGATTGGCAAGTGTCATACACATGTCATGGGTAACCACTGAATGGAGGAGGTTTGGAGCAAACAACATGGAGGAGGTACTAGAAATGACAGCACATCTCCATGATTTTCCTCCGAGGGCAGTATCCTTACTGGCCAATAGTTCCTTGCCAGGCCTTGGAATCACAAGTGCCATTACAAGTTAATATTTTAGAACAATATGCAGCCCAGCCAGATTCTGGGAGACTATAATGTGAATGTGGATCCATGCATGTGTGTACCATGAATACTGTGTACACCATGTGCACACACAGCCGTCATTGATTGAGTTCTTAATAAGCATTAGGCACTGTGCTACAAGTGTTAGTGCATTGCTCAGAATAGTTCTATGAAGTAGATACTATTATTACCCACATTTTACAGTTCAGAAAACTAAGTCTGTGAAACCAAAAGGGTAATGACTTCATCTGGGAGGCCAGATCTTGCCATAATTCTTTTAGCACCTAAAAAAGTCTTGCCCAGTGAGAAAAAGGATCTGACTTAGGGAAAGTAGAGCATCAAAGGCATGGGCAGGGCAGGGCAGGGCAGGGCAGGGCAGGGGAGGGCTGGCCTAGGCGAGACAGCTTCAGCTTGTCACATATCAGTTTAGTGAGATCGAAATGAGAACCTTCTCTACATTCTTGGAGTTTGAAGCAGAGAAACACACACACTGGAGAGCAAACTCTAGGGGCCCAGATCCCAGCCTTTGGTACCACCGTGCTGCAGGAACCTGAAGGTCCCTTTTTCTCTGCTCCGTGGACGCCAGGGTTTCCCTTTTCTTGTAGCCCCCACCGGAAGCTTGAGTCAGAGATCACTCCCCTACCAAACTTGAGCATGCATCCCTGCCCACTTGCCCCCACCCCACCTCTTCTTCGGAGCCCCTCACTGTCCTCCTACCCCATTAGGCCACCACATAACATTTTCCGGATTCCCTTGGGTTCCCCTTTCCCCAAAACTTCATTTCAGAGGCTCTCCCTTACCTTGGATACCTGTAAGGGTTTCCTCTGTTCGGCCCCCCCCTGAAGTCGGAAGCCCCAGGGTGCTCCCCCTGATAGTGTGACCAGGACTTCCTCCTCAGCACCCATTGCTCCGCTTGGCCTATGGCCCCTGAAGTTTGGACAGTGTCCCAGGGAAAGAAGTTGAGGTGCTGGTAGCCCCGTCCGGCCTGCCTGCCTGTCCGGCTGTCCTACTCTTGCTGCCCTAGTATCCCCCCCCCATACACCACAGGCAAGCAACTTGGCTGTGGAATAATTACAGTCCAACACACATGTCCCGTCAATCTGCTCAAAATAGTTGCTGGGTGTACTCAATCTCCCGCCCCCAGCTGTGTTACTCCTAAGGCTAATTATAGCACAAAATTCTGCCCTCCACCCCACCACCACTACCGTGGGCCTTTTACTCAGGACTCAACTAATGTACACTCTTCAGGGGCTGTGCCTTATATGATAGGATCATGAACTAATCTCAGCTGCTTTCCCCCAAGCCCACTTCAAAGTGGCAGCTGTACCAGCAGTGGCTTCAGTTCTGGAACTGGCAAGAAATGGCTAGGTTTACTCCACAAGCTCCCTGGAAAAGCACCCCTTCGCTGTATGAATTGTTACCAACCCAGGCTCTTTCTGTGCAGTATGCCAGTCACTGACATGTGGTTTTGCAAAAGTCCAAGTTTATCCATTGAGGCAGCCAAGTATGAAAGACTGCAAAGGAAGGTTTCAGGGATATTTATGATTTTAAAAAGCAGGAGGTATAGCGCAGCATAGTGGCATACACCTCTAGTCCCAGCTACCTGGAAGGCTGAGGCAGGAGGATTGCAAATTCAAGGCTATGATGGATAATTCAAGGAAACCCTGTCTCAAAAAATAAAAAAAGGGTTGCAAATGTAGCTTAGTGGTTAAGCACTTGGGTAGTATGCATAAGGTCTTGGGTTCTTGTTACAGTTTGTGTCTGGATGTCCTCCCAAGGCTTCATGCAGTCATGGAGGGGGCAGACTTCTTTGGGGCAGCTAAATCTAGAGTGTGATTTGTTCACTGTCTAGTGCTGGGACTGGCAGGATGAGTGCTGCATCCGCTTAAGGGTGGATATCCTACATACAATATAAGAGAGGGAAAGAGGCTTGCTCTTTTGCTAATCCTCATTTTGCTCTTGATGCTTTTGCTGTCTTCTTCTGCTGTGAACTGTTGCCCTCTGCCATGTGCCACTCTGCTTTGGAACCAGTGAATTACGGACTGAAATCTCAACAAACTGTGAGCTAAATAAACCTTTCATTCCTTAATTTTGGGCATCACTCAGCAATGAGTGAAAATTAACCAATTCAGTTCTGTTGCCAGTACTGAAGGGGAGGGGAGCAGAAAGCACAAGGAAAAATGATTGGAGAGGAAATAATCCGTGGTCTTCATATGTGTAATCAATACTCATAGCTCTTTTTTAAAATTTTATTTAAGGAGAAAAAGGGTACAAGTTATACAGAATTTAAAAAAAAACAGTAGGAAATCACTAGTTAATAGATTATGTATTGTCATCTTAGAAATAGTTGTTCAAGTTACAAAGTTAAAGCATATAAAGTGGACATTCAAACAGTGAGACTGCAAACAGTTCTGTTCAATGATCCAACAAAAACTCAGTAATATGGTTATCTATTTTATATGCTTAAATACACATGCAGCTATATCCTTTAGAGCACTTTCTTTTACTCTCTGTTTTACAATGACAATTACACATTTTGGGTTTTATTACTCCCACAGTTCTTATTACTTTTTTTGATGAAAATAAAACCAAATGTGACATAATAAAATGGAGTCAGTCAAATCAAAAGGATGGACATAGTACATAATGTAAAAACAGAATACAAGGTAGGTGATCAACAATGGTTGCCATAATGCCTCTTGCTACCTTAAAAAGAATTGCCTATATCATCAGTTATAATAAAATTGAACAAAACAGTAAAGAACAAAACTAATAAAAGCAAAACATTGGAGACATTACAGGACTTCAAAAGAAGATAATAGTCAAACCAGAATGGACGTCATAGTGAATCTTATTGTCTTCACAGTTGTTACCAATACTCTCAAGCTTGATACTATCAAGCAAAACAGAACAGAGTAAAATCAGTCAAAACAAGATGGTGAGAGCAATACAGGGTTTCAAATCAAGTTAATAGGAAATCAAAGTGGGTTACTATAATATATCCTGTTATTTTTTATTTTTTCCCTTAATTAAAAATATAAAGATAAAAAAATTAATAAAAAAGGAGATTGAGGCTGGGGATTTAGCTCAGCAGCATAAACACCTGCCTTGCAAGCAGGCGGTCGTGAGTTCGATCCCCGGTACCGATAAAAATGAAAAAGACACACACACAAAAAAAGGAGATTGAGATAAAAGAGGACATAACAACAAAACAGCACAGGTCAGAACATAACCATTTAAGCAAAATAGCAAAATAGTGTTTCACCACAAGATATCCCGACATAAAAGTAGTTACCATAGTGTCTCTTTCCTTGAAATCTTTGAGTATAACTTTGTATACTGTAGCATCAAACATATCAAGACAATGTAAAACCTTTCAAGAGAATGACAGTATTACAGGGCATTTAGAACCAACTATCAGAAAATGAACAATGATTTCTGTATAATCTCCTTGTCTATAAAAGTTTTTGTTTATATTATCACATATAATAAAATCCAATAAGATAAAACATGTTAAGACCGATGGAGACAGAAGGACAAAAGCTTGATGGGACTTCAAAACAAGATGATACTAAATTAGCACTAGCTATTATGATGTCTTGTTTTCTCCAAAATAGCTGTTCCTACCATCCAACCTTCTCTGCCTCATTTCTGTTGAGCTCTTTTTCTGTCATTACTTGTCAGTTTGTCTTCTTCATTTCACTTTCTGCTCTATTTATTGTGGCCTCTCTGCCACTGTTTCTGGAATTTTGGTATTTTTCTCTTTTAGAATTTCCTGCAGTATTCTCTGTAGAGTTGAATTAGTGGTTGCAAATTCCCCTAGTTCATCTTTATCCTGGAAGTACCTTGTTTTTCCATTAATTTCTAGGGACAGTTGTGCAGGATATATCAATCTTGGCTGGAGGTTATTGTCTTTCAAAGCTCGAATTATTTCCCCCCATGCTCTTTGTGATTTGATGGTTTTGTGGCAAGAAGTCTGCTGTAATTCTGATGGGTGTTCCCTTGTAAGTGATCTGTTTCTTGTCTCTGGCAGCTTTTAATATTCTGTTCTTATATTGGATTTCTGGAATTTTGATTATTATATGCCTGGGTGTAGCTCTGATTTGGGTTGTAGGTGGCGGTGGTCTGTATGCATCATAGATTTGAGTATTTTTACCTTTTCCCATATTAGGGAAGTTCTCCTTGATTATTTCTGTGAATAGCCTTTGCAGTTCATTTGTTAGTATCCCTGCTTCTTCCTTTACATTCTTAATTCTTGTCTTTTTTTTTTTTTCATTTTTATCGGTACCAGGGATTGAACTCACGACTGCCTGCTTACAAGGCAGATGCTTATGCCGCTGAGCTAAATCCCCAGCCCCTACATTCTTAATTCTTAAGTTATAGGTCCTCTTACCATCTTCTAGCCTTTGTATTGTTACTGCTTGTTTCCTTATTTTTAAGTTTTTCCTTTCATGCCCCCACATTACAAATCTGTCCTCCAGTTCAGATAATCTATCCTTAGTTTCAAGCTGTTATGTCAGCTTTCAATAGAGTTTTTAGTTTCCTGGTAATCTCTTTGAATCTGCTTCATGTATTCTATATTTTCTCTATTTTCTCCATTAAACAATTCTCCCCTTTTTTTCTGTTCTTCCATTCCATCATCTGTTTTTTCTTGGGAGGTGCTTAGCATTTCTTTAACTATTCTACTTATATCTTGCTTTGTTTGGTTAAATACTTCACTTTTTTTTCCCAGCCCTTTTTATTTTTTAATAGAAATAGCTTCTTTTTTTTATTTTTGTCTTTTTCATTTTTATCAGTACCAGGGATTGAACTCAGGACTGCCTGCTTGCAAGGCAGGCGCTTATGCCGCTGAGCTAAATCCCCAGCCCAAATACTTCACTTTTGAACTCATCTGTGAGGTCCTGAAGATATCACTTTATGTCTATTGGTGCCATGCCTGATATGGATGTTTTCTGTCCTCATTCTCCTTTGCATTTACCTTTCCTGGATTAGCTCAGGATTGGGGACTGAGGACCCTTTCTTGTTAATCCCTCTTCCCATACTTTTTGTTCCTTCCATATAAGCGTATATAGGAGGCTCAGTTTCTTTCTTTGTCGGTTACAGTTTGTTTGGGCTGGCCAGGTGTTCCTGCCCACTGCAGTGTACTAGGGAGACACAGACCTGGGCAGCCTATGCTGGGCCCGCCCCTCCAGGTCAGTCAACCTGCTGAAGGATTCACTGCATTAGGGTGCACTGCCAGGTGGAGGGACCTGGTTTGGGCTAGCCTACTGGGTCTTAGTCTGCGGCCTCACCAAGGTCAAGTCCCACTTGAAAGGGGAATATGTGACTGAAGTCACTGCAGTGTCCTGTTCCGGCTAGTCTGCCTGGTCTCATAATGTCCTCTGTGGGAGCCTCCTAGACTATGGAAGGGTCCCCGTTCCTCTCACTGCAGGTCGATGCAGGGCTCCCTGCCAGCTCTGTTCTCAATTCAGCTTGCTGATTCCCACTCTCAGAGCTTTTGAAACTCTATCCCTGCTGTGCCAATTCAGATGCAGCAGTGGCGGCAGGAAATTCAAGCCACAGTTTCCAGAGATGCGGGTCCAGCTTTGGCACTGAGACTTTAGCTATTCCAGTCATAGTACTGGGATTGTATTTCCAGTTGGTTTCTCTCAGCTTAGTTCGTTCCTGTGTCAGCAGGGTATATCTCCCTCTGCTTAGGACTCCCCACACTGCACCATTCCTGGAATCTAAGCTGCCTATTTTAGAGAGCCTCCGTAGCTGCTGCTATCTATTTGTCATTTCTCCCAGAAGTCCTACTCATAGCTCTTTACAGGATGCATGTTCAGAAAAATAGTGGCATTAGCAAATATGAGGATGGTATGTTTGGTCCTCTGACATCAGTCACCCACTGCACACCTGCATAAGCCTGAGTGAACAGTTGGTGGTTTAAGAAAAAGCAAATGTTAAGTCTCTGTTATGGTTTGTGTTTAAATGTTCCCCCAAAGCCTCATACAGTCATGGAGGGTGGGCTTTTTGAAGGTAGCTGAGTCTTGCATTTGTGATTGGTTTGTTGTATAGTGCTGGA